CGCCGTCTCGCGTCATGCCCGGCGCGTAGCGCGTCCCTTCCGGGTAGGCGGCCGGCCATTGTTCCCGAGGCCCAAGTCGCGCAGGCGGGCTCCCGCGCCAGCGCCCAGCGCCAACACCGGCACCGCCATCCAAGGCGGCGTCACGCCCTCACCTCTACGGCCTCGCGCCAACGGACCTGCTACCTGCCTTACTAACCATTGACGGAACTTCTTGCCTCCATTACTGGCGATTTAAATCGACTCTTCGTCACTGTCACTGTCACTGTTACTGTTATTGTCACTGTTATTGTCACTGTTACTGTCACTGTTACTGTCACTGTTACTGTCACTGTTACTGTCACTGTTACTGTCACTGTCACTGTCACTGTCACTGTCACTGTCACTGTTACTGTTACTGTTACTGTCACTGTTACTGTCACTGTTGCTGTCACTGTTGCTGTCACTGTTGCTGTCACTGTTGCTGTCACTGTTACTGTCACTGTTACTGCCTCTGTCACTGTCACTGTCACTGTCACTGTCACTGTCACTGTTATTGTCACTGTCACTGTTACTGTCACTGTTACTGCCTCTGTTACTGTCACTGTTACTGTCACTGTTACTGTTACTGTCACTGTTACTGTAACTGTCACCGGAGTTGTGGGTGAAGGCTACGACAACGACGAATTAGCATTTCACGATAAGCCAGAGACATCGGAGGAAACTATCTAGTGCTAGAAATCAGAAAATATTACTTACTTATTAAATCTTACTATTAGAGCATTTTGATTTGAGAACAACTCAATGAGAAGTCGAGCACAGTGATTAGCACAATGCTTTTCCGTCCCGATCGGGCGCAATCCATTGTGGAACAGCGGCCATTCATCAGTGTGCCACGACACGACTGTGGCACGTTGAAGAATCGTTGCTAAATGGGCGACAAAATTAAGTTATACGACAATTCATCTTTTGATCAGATCATATTTTCCTTCTTTTTCCATGAAATGACACAAGTAATGGATATAAATTATTGAGTCCGTCGTGTCTTCGTGGCGAACATGGGTGTCAAAAAGCAGTTTGTTGGGCACCGAAGATTCGGATAAATCAATTAACGAACTTAAATATATTGTAGTTGCATAGACAGAAGGATATTGACAAGCGCTAACAAAAACTCTCAATTGTGGTGTATAGTAAGATACTGTAATTAAATGATTAGTACATGAAGGTAACTTTGACAGGTAGTGGTTCAAAACCAGTTTGAATTCAGATAATGCTGTTTCTGTCACGCGGTAATTCCAGTGGTAAATCAAAATGATGAGAAAACCATTGATAGAATTCAAAACAGCATTTATCAGATTTAAGGATAGGCATTACATGGCTTAATACTTCATATTTGACAATTGGCGACTGTTTAGCGAGTTAGCCATCCATCAAACAGCTATCATTCAAAACAATTAAAATTCAATTTTAAACATTTTATTTCGTACTACAATTAATGAATTAATAAAAATTATATAGCAATATATTTGATTATATTTTTATATAACAGGCAAAGACTAAAAGAGTAATTATTTGTTAAAACATAATTATTGTGTGTCCCTATTGGAAAACAGTCTAATATTCTGTTTTTCCTCAATTTTTTTCTTACGAACATTTTTGTAGTGCAATTGAAATCATTTCTTAAATTTCTAGCAAACAGGTACTCAATAAGAAAAAAATTAATTACTGACGCCTTTCTCATTTTATTTCGTTAATAGTTTACTATCTTTTATAAGAAAAAGGGGAGTTCTGTTACCACTGTAAGTCGTACCGTCATAGACAAAACCATAAATATACAGTGAGGACAATTTGTCAATACAGTGTCTTCGCAATTACAAATAATCTTCTGCAAATTGACTCAACAGTTGATATCAGGTTTGCAATCGGGGCTGTATTCAAACTGCAACTGCAAACTTCTCACAGTGAATTTCACATTAATTTATTTAACTTTTGTAACATAAAAAATGTGTAATTTACTAGGAACCCTTGATGAAATTTAAAAAACGTGTCTGCATACCTCTTCCATAGTTAAACTACACATATTACGTCTCTGCAGATAAAGAAAATGTACTTACGTGACATCACCAAGCACAAACTCGGAAGCAGTTGTAACAGGTGTAAGGTCGAACAGTGACCGTCCCAGGGAATCCAACATTTGAAGTTTATAACCTCCCTGTAAAAGAGAAAAAAATATGAATACCTTGCATAATTCAGGTTTAGACGGATACACATATAAAATTATGACACAAACGCGATAACTGATACATTATAACTAAAATTACATTTTACACTTTTGTAGAACAAGTGTTCATTGTAATGTACACCTCTTTTCATAGGTCACACACTGTTTGTAACTGTTTTTTGACATTAAATAAATAAAATGACATTGAGGAAGAAAATACTGATGTATCTAATGTATATCATTTTATCGTGAAATAATGCAAGAGAAAAGAAATTGGTTAAATCACGCACATTGATCTCACAATGTGCTCCGTATCTTGAAACATACTTAAATGATCAGAAGAAAGAAGTTCGATATTAAACGCAATTAAACAATTTGAGCAATTGAACTTATTAATAAGTCAGAGGAGATGAAACTGTATAAACAAAGTATTTTTAAAACTGAAATTGTACAAATTCGTATTATTTATTACAACAAAACGAACTACTAACAATAAATAACAGTGATATGTACAACGGTGAACAATTGATTAAAATAAAAATCGACGATGATTGCTAACAAATCTCCACCATCAATATTTTAATGCCTTACTTTATTTTTCAATAACAGATTCGAAATAAACATACTTAGATTTATATTAAAATATATAAGAAAGGCACGGATGTTCAACACAGTTCGGCTAGAAATTATCAATAACAACACTTATTATTGTTAACAGCAGCAAGGCCGTTTCAAGTCCGTCGCATCCCTAGAAGAGAAGCGCGAGCTTGCACCCCGAACCGAACCAGGGCCCCCGCTGGCCAGTGGCATTGAGGTTTGTGGACCACCTGATGGACCAGGTGTTGAGGCGGTGAGGCTTCTCGGGGCCCGCGGCGCCGCGCCCCTGCCACCTCTCACCCATTGCCACCGCTGCCTTTTTTCCACGGCGTTGGCTCCCCTGCCATCGTTACCACCAGCCGCCATTACTGGACGCCGGGTTCTTATGGAATTACATTTGTTTTTGTGTTGCTGTGTTTAATTCTCAAAATAGCGATTTTGGTGAATCAGAGCAATCCTAATTTATTTACTTTTTCACTACGGCGTAAGAAATGTAATGCTGCGTGAAAAAACGGCGAATTTCCAGCAGAAAAAATTATTATAGAGCCCTGGTAACCAAGTTGATAAATCCAGTTACTAAATTTAGAAAAATAATCCTCTAACACGTGGTATACCCAGAATCCACGTTTTGTGGGTCCACGCGATAAACTTTTAGATGACTAAAAATATACGTTTTTTGGAGAATTTCTTAGAATCTTCTGGACGGATCCGCAAACAAATCATCAGTTCCTTCTCAGGAGACCGAGACGCGTCAAATAATCATTTGTTTGGATTGCTAGGTGGTAACGGACCCAACCGTGAGTGAATGACGGTCGCGGGTTACTCGAATACTATAATATTCAAATACTATACGGATGATTCGAATAATGGTGGACCAAGAGGTAGGCGTAACGGGAGAACCCCGAGAAATTCTACCGCGAATTCGCTTCGCCCAACACAAATTCCACAAGGGACGACAAGGATATTAACGCCGGCCCTCATTTGAAGAAAAATTGACGGTGATATTGACGATTTGAAGTAAACGGATTCCCTGTGAGGCTGGAAGCTATTGCGCTGGGACGCCCTACGCTGTGGATCTCCCCGAAGCGTTTATGAGAGATCAGCGAGCATTCCGACGTCGTGTCCACCTGGACCCATCACACCGCGCGTCGGCCGCTGGGCGCCGTTCCCCAGAGATTGATGGGCCTGTAACTTACGTCGGGCCAAGGTCGCCTCCTTTTCCGCCCGGCAGCCTTTGCCACGCACTACGCCTTTCTCTATTCGCTACGCGCGCTCTTGCGCTCGGCTGCCAGCCCGCACGGGCAGGCGACTAACCTGGATTGAAATGACGAAGGAGACGAGTGTTACAGTTCCACCAAATAACAATACAATGAGATAATGGGTGATGATCGGTAATTGAATTGTAGCCATACATCAAAGGGTGGATTTATCGAATCTTTGTTTCCGGGCGCAGCGGGTCAAGTATGTTCATTATTCCCGTAAGTATAGTGCATGTTTTATCAGACAGAGAGAGAGAGAGAGAGAGAGAGAGAGAGAGAGAGAGAGAGAGAGTGGTAGTATCTCTCCTCGCTGGTTTACGAGATCAGGGGCGGACCTACACATTGGTTGGCGGGATTTTCCCCATGCAGGTATTTTTTTCCTGCGGGACACCGGCTTATCTATAAGCTCCCAACCTATTCTCCTACCATGTGTGGTAATGTAATGCACGAAAGTGTGTGTGTGTGTGTGTGTGTGTACGTAAGGGGGGGGGGCGAGAATAGGACAAGAAAGGGAAAGGAAAGATCGCACGCTGTCCGTTGTTTAGATACTGATCTGGCATTCTCCTGGTATTGGTCGAAAAAAACACGGCATACTACTGATCAGAGCCGAGAACCGAACCGTAGGACTTCTCGGCCAGAAGAGCAGCCACAGCAGTGACATCATTAGATGCCCTGAGCCACTTCAGCTTGTCAAGGGGTTGAATATTGCATAAGTAATATAAGCACGTGCTTGGAGCTCCCGCAGAAATGGAACCACCAAATATACTTAAACAGAATGTTATATTTGTTCACACTGATTTGTATGTGTGTGTGCCCGCGTGTGCGCCAGAGGCCCACCTTGCATTGGGAAATGGTGCGTGAATGCGTGGCATATGGCATGTGAATGTGTGTGAGTACCAAGAGCCATACTTGCATTACTTTGTTTATTTATTTGTTTGCGTATGTTCAGAGCGCTATACGTATTTTCGAATTCATTTTAATTACATATGTTTAATATTTCAATATTGCACGGGGACCGCTATTTCATCACGCTTAGGTCCCTGAAGATAATACATTCGATCCTTTAGACCTCTCATTCTCGAACATACACACCCACTCGGAAAGGGGGTCGGCTGAGTTGGCTCAGGTTGGTTCCTGATTGCAACTGCTGTCACTCACCCCGCAAACCCTCGCAAGCGAACGTGATTGTCAGCTCAGGATCTCATGTTCTAGCATAACATGCACTTCACTTACGGGAGTAATGCCCACAGCCACTGACGCAGCCGACAAAACAAAAGAATCAATTAATCAATGGGTATAGCGTGGAAAGTCATGAAGAGTACCACAACCAGATGAGCCAGTCCTGAACGTCTTCGATACAGCTGTTGCTTACAGCAATATCTATAGTGGACAATTACTGACGATGGTAATGATGTTCAAAATACACATAAAGGTTAGGGTGTTATGCGCCCGAAAAACATAATTTAATTTTACAGCAACATTATTATCTTTTTCCCACATTTGTCACCCAACAATGAAACTAGGGCTCATTGAACCTACTGTATATAAATCCAAGCCTGTCATGATGACACTGGAAGGTTAGCAAGGTTCTATTCACCTCTCGGGATTTTCTGTAGAGAGTTTCGCCGCAAAGAAATGCGACCAGCGAACGCTGAAGGGGCGCTGACCACTTCTCGCAACTCATTCTCTGTGCAAACGCCACTTGTGTCGCTGAGAAAGCGCCTGGCCCGCGAGAGCCGGGCGCGAGGGCCGCGCGGGGTGCTTCGCTTTGCCCGTGACTCGTCCCCAGCGGCGGCGCACTTACTCGACAAGAAAAAACGCTGAACCTGACCTTGCCCGCTGGAGTCCGGTGATGAGAGCGGTGTGCGAGGGGACGGAAAAGGCGCGGGCTTCAGAGGAAGAACGCGGTCGTTTTGCGCACAAACACACGCGTACGCGCGCGCGCGCGCACACACACACACACACACACATACGTGCGTGCGTGTGCAGAGACACTTCGCACACGTTTACACACATGCAGACGCAGATATGCGCGCGTTCGCTAGCACGGCTGTCCGTGTATTATGATAACAACAACAACAACAACAACAACAACAACAACAAC